ATATAATATATGTGGGTGCACTGTGTATAATTATTTTATATATATATATATATATATATATATATATATAATACATACACTTGCTTGTATATATTTAATATTTTCATGTATATACTGTATAGATTTATATATAATTTATAATATATATATAAATATTTTAAATATTTCTTAAATATAGATGCATGTGTGTATACAATATATATATACAAAATAATTATACATAGTGCACCCACATATATTATATAAACACAAACTTTTATTTTGGATGCGATTAATCGCGATTAATCGTTTGACAGCCCTAATTATAAGATAACAAACAGGTATGATTTTAAAACAGTTTAATCTCAAATAAATTTCTTGTAACCCCATTATTATTTATGTAGCGAAATGCTGTGTATTAAGTGACTGTACCGTATCCCTTAAACGTCCGTCTAGTTTAAACTTGTGGCTTGCTAGCAACAGCTTCCTTTGCGGACGCTTTGCGTTTAAAGAACTAATAAAATATTTCAGCTCAAGTCAATATTTCGTGTCTAATTATTTACTTATGTGGCAAGTACACCATGTAATAAGCGGGATAATGTAATAGACGATGTTATTCATTGTCTGGTGTCGTTTAAAGCCCTTTGAAGCTGCACTGAAACTCTCATTTAGACCTTGAACCGTTTGGTTCCCAATGAAGTCCATTATATGGAGAAAATCCTGGAATATTTTCATCAAAAACCTTAATTTCTTTTCGACTGAAGAAAGAAAGACATGGACATCTTTGATGACATGACGGTGAGTAAATCCTTTAATATGTCTTAGCTACAACATTTACCAAAGTGTTGCTGGTTCATGCAGGTAAATTGAAATTCTTGTTTATCTTAGGAGGAAGATGACTTTTAAAGACCAAGCTTCAGCAGGCTGGAAATGACAGAATTACTCAATCTATATTCAACTCTAATGGAAGTGACCGAACACTTCAGTGAAAGGACATTTGTCATATACCCTGTTTTCTTTAGAAAATGTGTTGTGCACTCAATCTCAAAACATACGTCTTCACTACATACAAATGTTTCGCCGTGTTGCCGGTTTTGAATATTTTCCTTCCCCCTCAGGCAAATCGTGTAGGAGTATCCAGCAAAAGTGTAAACAAAGCTTTCCGCCAGATGATTCCTTTTCTTAAACACAAACAATGGCAAATGCTGGACTTTGAAAGAGTATTTTCTTCTGGTATTGGGGGGGTGGAGATCTTCCTTTCATACTAAACTGCTTAAACCAACATACTGTTGGTAGCCAGAGAAATTAAAGTTCGGTAATGTTGGTCAAATCCCTTTATTTTTACCTCACACATATGGTGAACAGAATGCCTATGGAGATGTCCAACAGTTCTCAAAGCTGGGTGGAATGTCAGTTTTCCTTATGGAAAAAAAAAACAAAACATGTTGGTATTTCCTGAGACCTTTTTGCACTGCCACTGAAGAAATCCATATTTTGTTTCAGGCATATGGTTCCTCATATTATCAGTAGATTCATTCATTCAGTCAGTCATTACTATTGTAGATAATTTAGAGTTAATTTAGTAATTTAGTAATCTACTGGATTACCACACCACCATTCAAGTGTTTCGGGTTATTTAAGAATATATATATATAAAGAAATGAAAACTTTTATTCAGCAAGGATAAATTAATTTTTTCACAAAGTGACAGTAAAGATATTTATAATGTTACAGAAAAATGCTGTTCCTGTGAACTCTTTACAGAAAATAGGGTAATTCTGTCTCAAATTTTTCAGGTGAAAAATAGATAAATGAAAAAAAAGGTCAACATATTAATTAGCTGTGTGCAAAGTGTCCATATCAGGCCTTTAAATGAAATTAAAATGAAGATACCAAAATAAATGTTTGTTAAAAAACAAAATCTAAAAAGGAAACTAATATATGTTTAATATTTCATGAGTTACAGGCACGCAAACTTAGGACAAAAGTGCTTTTCCCCATTTTTTCACCATTGGCATAAAATTAAGCAGGTTTAACTGATAAACCTAGCCATCTTGAAATATGATGCTTCCTAATTTTTATAAATTTTTGCCTCATGTAATTTGGGTCCATGCATATCTCTTGTTTTAAATGTTAAAAATATTGACCCCCTCACTTAGTCAGTCAATACATTGCATTTAATATTTTGGCTTTCGTGGCTATGTAATATTTGTCTTTCTTTCTTCAGAAAAATATATTAAGAGTTTTAATATATATTAAAAAATATATATATATTAACTAAATCAAAATTCTGAGCCAAAACTCGGATGATTCGACATTTGAGAATGATTTCTGAAGGATCATGTGACACTGAAGACTGGAGTAATGATGCATCACAGGAATAAATTGCATTTTAAAATATGTATTCAAATAGAAAACAGTTATTTCAAATTGTAACACTAACAATTTCACAATAACACTGTAATTTTTGATCAAATAAATGCATCCTTGCTGACATTCTTTCAAAAAAGTTAGTCTTACCGACCCCAAGCGGTTACCTGAACTGTAGAGTAAGTGTGTAGTTTTCAAATATACTTTTCCATGTGAATTTTAACCAAAAATCATTATTATTTTTTTTTTACATTTATGCAATTGGCACAGGTCACAGTGCTGTAATACTAACCATCACTCAATTAGCTCAAACATCTAAGCACAAAATCAGCCAGAACAAAAATTGACTACATTCTTTTAAAGACATATAGACATAGTCATGAATATTTAAACTTGCACCCCCCTCCCCGTCTCAACTCCGTCAATTCCCTTCAACACTTTTCTCTGACTCAAATTTCTTTAGGCATCTCCTGCAGAGCACTGTTTCTTTTCTTTACAAAGCTCTCTGAATTCCAGCCCACATCTGGAACGCATCTTCTGAGGCAGCGCTCTACCCCACACTCTAATTAAGGCCATGTATGCCAAACTGTAAATAACCCAAGAAATGATACCCCTCGGCTCATATAGGGCCTGAAAAGCGGGACATGTGGATTGATGTTTCGAAATAACAGTTGAATATATAAGTTCCTCTCAGCGTGCAAAGTCTATCCTCTCCTGAGAAAGAACTCCTAAAACAAAGCCACGAGCAGGCCAGGCTCTCCGTGTGTCCGTTAAGTCCTTCACCCTTACAATAGAAAGTATCCAACTGGGTCCACACAGCTTGACCAATGAACACGGCCCATTCAGCTGCTCTTTTGCTCTATCTGTGACCAGTTAACTTTGTATCCCCCTGTTTTCCAGGCTCTTTAAAACTCTGTGTGTGGCGTATCTGGAGGGAGGCTTCCAAATGGAGTTTAATAGTTTAATGGGACGATCATAATGAAATAATTGCAGCCTGGGTTTTACGATGCTTTTCTTTCTAAGTATCTTGGAGACACAACAGGACTATTAACATGGCTCATCATCAACACAGGACAACAAGGTCTCTTAACACATGCTCGGAGGAGGGCCATAATAGCTTATAAAAGTACAGTTCAGCTGTTTGCCTGATGCCTGCTTACAAAACTCATGAAATACAGAGACAGTTAATGAATGTTAGTTACTGTAGATGTTGTGTGATGATGCGTCATCTCGTTTTCAACAAGGTAACAAATGCATAAAAAAAATATATAGTCAGGTCATAAACACTATGAATATATAGGCAAATTGGCAATCTGTCAATTTAAATATTTTAGGATCAATTATAACATATCACATCACACAACTCTAAACAGAAAATGCTTGAAATGTCATGTCAAATTCTCCAAATACTAATTGCACGTATAGCCGGACATCAAATGAGACATGACTCCGAGACTAAACTCATATTTGATGATGAGGCTGTAAAGCAATCAACACAAACACACACACGCACACACACACACACACACACACACACACACACTACAGAGAGCAAGAGGAGGGTCATTTGATCTTTGAGCAGCAGGGTGATGGCAGATCAAGAGCCAAAGACAATGTTAACACTGTTACCACAGACGTTTTTTTTTTTCCTAAAGAACATGACAACCTGCAATTTAGTTTGTAGAATACATTTCATTTTTCTTTCTGTTGAATCTTCTAGATCATGTTGTTAATACAATTTCCACATATGAAAAGTTTATCAAGAAATTTACATCATATTTACAATATTGTCTTAATGTAAATCCCAGTCTAAAAAAACATTGTTTCAATATCTTCAATTAGCCTATGTCATGTATCTATATCAATTATGTGTGAACAATACTCAAAACAATCTACAGTTGCAATTTTGTGGCTCTCTAAAGTTTTTTTGAATAAAATCATGAAACATAACAGTGCACGACCTGGAAACAACCAATCAAAACCTAGAACTAGCGTGAAAAGGATTAACTAAGTTAGCCTACTTAGGATACAATAACGGAATTTATAGGTTGTTGCATATCGGCTATTAAAAGAACAGGTCAAGATGGGCAAAACTTTAGAAGTTATAACAGCTCGCTGAACTGATTAGGCTACGTTATTAGAGCACTAGCATATTCAATTCTCTTAAGTTATCTTGTTTTACAGCAGTACCAGAGAATTCAAAATGCGATAAACCACCGAAGATGACATGACGTTTGTGACGCACAAAAAAAGTTCGCATAACATTATTCACTGGACTATCGGAAAGTGATGGAGATGTTTGCTTCCCAAACTTCCCAAACAACCGCTGTGTCGAGTGTATAAGTTAACTTAGTGAGCTCAAAACCGACAGAAAGCCTCAATAAAACGAATGGACGTATTATTGCTTTAACACAGACATGTACTTACGAATCGAAGAAATCCTAGAGGTATCTGGCCATACTTAAACGAGCGAAACATCAGAATCAGAAATCTCTACATTGTTTTGTGTGTGATAGCAGGATTAGCTTAACATCGCCCCCTGTCGTGGAAAGCAAGCTGTTGCAATACGTGTTTGCACTGCAGTGCTCGAACAAAGAATATGAGGTGTGGGTTTAGAAAGTGATGTGATGTGATAAACTATAAACACACGATTTAAGTAAATACATTACTTTTATTTCATCAGATATTATCATGCAGGAAACATAGGCCTACGTTTTAAAAACGGCCCAAACTCTTTAAAGCTAGGCTGCCTATCAGCATTTATTCCAAAACAGTAGGTTTAATATTAAAAATGAGGACTTGTCATCTTGAGTTGTGCTCTTTTCAGAAATGTAACGTTTTACGGGTTCATAACTGCATTCTTTAGTAACCCTTGCTTTTGAACCACTGGGCTCGGGCCACAACATCGTTGGCGTAATCATCTCCTGCGGTGCCAACGTCCATGCGCTCGTATGAACGGACGTTCTTCACACCAGCGTTGTAGGCTGATATTCCCCCTGGAACAAACATTATACTTCAACTGAGACATGAAAGTTAAGCAATAAACTTCCTGATAGCACATGTACATCATGGAGACGTCTATTAGATGTCTGCATTGCATTGTGCGTTTACTTCTGCAAGATGTAAAATAATGTTAGATGTAGAGTATCTGCTCATCAGTATGGCAAGCCGTTTGAGCTTTTATACATTTCCAGGATATGAATTCTTGAAATCAACAATGACATTTTTTTGATATCAACAATTCAATTGTTGATATCAAATATCAACATTTGAATTGTTGATATCAAAAAATGGCATTGTTGATATCAACAATTGAATTGCTGATATCTGTAATTGTATTTTCACTAGTGAAATGTCACCATATCTGCTATTGTTGATATCAAGAATTGATTTTTTACTAGTAGAAATATAATTTTTGATATCAATAATTACATTGTTACTAGAAAAATGCGAATTCCTGATATCAATAGGCCTAATTAAATTGTCACTAGTTGAAATGTTTATTCTTGATATCAACAATTCAATTGCTACTAGTAAAAATTACCATTTTTGATATCTGAAAATGTATTTCTGATATCAATATTATTTGAGATATCTAAAATGTCTTTCTTACTAGTAACAATCACATTCATGGTATCAGAAATTAACATTGTCACTAGTAAAAATTTAATTATTGATATCAAAAATGAGCATTGTTACTAGTAGCAATTCAATTGTGGTTATCAAGAATAGACATTTCAACTAGTAACAATTGAATTCTTGATATCAAAAATAAAGTTTTTAACTAGTAATAATTGTATTTTTGATATGTGAAATTTGAATTTCAACTAGTAAGAAATCAATTCTTGATATCAACAATTGGTTTTGAATGGCAGCCTATGGTGACATTTCACTAGTGAAAATACAATTGTTGATATCAAGAATTACATTTTTGATATCAATGTTGATATCAAAAATGTAATTGTTGATATCAAAAATGTAATTGTTGATATCAAGAATGTAATTGTTCATATCAATAATTAAATTCTTGATATCAAAAAATTTAATTGTTGATATCAACAATTGAATTCTTGATATCAAGAATTCATATCCTGGAAATGAATAAAAGCTAAAACGGCTTGCCATACATCTGCAATGTGTCACGTAGACGTTTCTAATACAATGTTAAGTAGACATTTAAAAAATGACTTTAAGATGTTTATGATTTAGAGTGTAAAACTGTTTTTTTTCTAAGATTTTTATCCGATGTTTTCCGAAATTAAGTGCTCTATCGCATACATCTTAGAGATGTAGGCTACCTGTGCTTTTCTTAATCTTTTTACAATGCCATTCATCTTTATTTATCTCTTGAGTAAATATAGCCTACCTTTAAAGCATTGCTCTTGGGTCCACTGGGGAAACTTTGCTTTAATTTCTTTAATGTAGCCAATGAGAATCTCAGTTCCTTGTGTGACATGTTGCTCGCTGTCCCATGCACCTGCTGGAGTGTGGTAGCGTTTATCAACCTGGAAGAAACACCATCATTGAAGAGAACTATTAGAAATGTTGAGAAATGGTTTAACATTCTCTGCTTATTATTTGCAAAATTTCCTTGCTGATGTCAAAAGATTTTGCATGGGATATCAGCTTTAGTTAATGTTTAGTAGGCTATATTAAATGTTATCTTATGACTTTGAAAGATTTATTCCTCTAACCAACCTGCATGAGACCAAAGCCATTGCCACGGTCGCCCCACCCATCCTTCAGAGCGGCCCCGGCTCTGGACTCTCTGGATATGATCCCCGCGATTACAGCCGGCTCCATTTTCTTTGCTTTGCCAACTTTAGTGATTATACTCTTGTATTTCTCCATCCGGGTCAGATCAGCCTCAGCCAGTTTTTTAGAGGCGTCAACCCCTATAACATGTTTAAATCAATGTTAAAATAAGCTGTAATGTAGTGCTGTATTGGCAGTCATACAAAAGTCAGATGTGAGTTAAGCAGTCATGCATTCTTCTCACCCTTTACAGTTAAGTTATTTGGTTTTGCTGTCTTCTCTGATGCACCGGTGGTGTCTATCTTCATGACGTCTCCATAAATGCATGCTAGAAACAACATGGAAAATGATTGTTCAATCATTAAGTAATAATACTGTATGCACATTTATGCAATGCTATAAAAAGTTCCTCAGACAATATCAGATAAAAACCTGCAACTTACCCATGACTTAGAACTGCTGTGCGAGATCAAATCACTGAGTTTGATGAGTCCTGTCAGTAAATCAGACCGCTGCAGGACGTGATTATATATGATCACAGAGGGAGTGGTCTCTCTTCTTTTCCTCAGATGTTTTTTTACTGCGGTGTGGAGAAATGTAAGGTTACAAAATTTGCAACTGTGAATGTTGCAAAATTTTGAATCCTTTTTTTATTCTAAGCACACACAAGCACAGTGAATCATATACTGTGAGTTGGCAGATTTATCATGTGGAGGCTTCATACACCTCAGAAAGGTTTAGCTGATGAAGCAACTTGATGACAAGGGAATAACTAACTTTGCTAGTACAGTCAGGAAACGAAAGTGAAGAGAAACAAAAGGTTGTGGGAAAAAGTACTTTTTTCTGGAAATGTTGACACTCGTACCAGTGTAGAAGCATGCCAAAGTTCACTGGCTCTGTCTCTGCCTCCCCTGGCTCCCTTGAACAAATGCTTGTACGATTTGTTTAGTTATGGGTCCCAATAAAAATGTGTCAAGTTTGGCTGTCGCTTTCTAGCACTTTCCAGGAATACAAAGCCAGATTCAGTCATTTTATAGATTTTTTGGATAACTTTGGGAAATTTATTCTTGATTTTTCTCCAATGCTTGATTGTATGTAGAAGAAAAGCTACAAGCTTCTATCCGAACAAGGAAACAATTTCACAGGGAGGAGTTGTTGTTGGTAGAAGCTTAGTCAGATGCAAACCCACCCTTAGAGATGAGCTTGCCAAAGGACAAATCAGGTTCCATTTTAATCCTCACAGCACACCTCATTTTGGTGAGTAGGAAAGAGAAGTGAGAGGTGAATGATATCAGCCCTACGGATGACGCTGGGTGCTCAGATTGTCAAATATATTGAGAAACATCTTAGTGGAGGTTGATGGTATCTTAAATTCAAAAACCTTGGGGTTGTGTCTCCAGTGATGTGGCAGATCCAAATGCAGATCCATAATTCGGAATTCCTTGCTTATTGGGCGGAGTCTGATCTACTCAGTTAGAAGAGGTTGAGACACAGACAGTGATTACTCATGGAAGTATTTTATGCAGAGGACTTCCTGCCGACCTTACAGACATTACAGTTCTTATCACTGATGAACAATTGCAGAAAGTGCTCTGAGGAGTTTATTTGCACTGTTTATTTGTCTACCAGATTTGAGGGAGACCCAAAGCCCATGTTCAGTTTGCTTTTGTTTACTAAGGGCTGTACAGTTATTAGGTTGGCCATTGATTTGACTTGAGGAGGTGTGGTCTAAACAGAGATTGTGCGGGAGCAACAAGTGTGAAGTAGCTCCAGTTTGGTAATAGCTGAGTGAAAGCATGAGGTCCTGCAATGCTAGAAAGCAGCAAATTAATACAGAATAAGATCTCTTTCTGCAGCTTCTTCACATTGTGAACTACGGGGAGAATATTTGTGATCTTGATTGACAGCTATTGGTGCATAATTATTAACTTCTCGCTTATGCTTCGTGAAGATTTATGAATGTGCATCATTGAAAACAATGAATGTCATTTGACTGTTAATTATATTATTATTATGTAAATCATTCACTGTTTCGCTTGTTCAACTGCTTCTAAGTCTGATTTCACGTAATTTTACAATGTGGTTTCTATATTGAGGCGAGCCTGATCGCCCATTATGGAATTGTCATTACTCAACATTTTTTGTTGAGCTGTTTATGTTAATTGCACATTTATGTTGTTTTTATGTTGTGAGTAAGATTTATTTGTTTATTGTAGAAACACACTCATACACTTAAACGATATACATAGCCTCCAAGATCCTTCATCTTAACCGCCTCTGCCCAGCACAGTGATTCTGCCTCCTCATCTGGTTCAGCCCATCCTGACTCCATTCCCTCGGTTGGCTTCGTCCAGTTCACTGGCTCTGTCTCTGCCTCCCCAGGCTCTCCACCTCTGGATCCACTGACTCTCCTTAACCTTCCTCCTCCACTTGCGAGACCACGGTCTCTAGCCCAACCCATCCAAATGTGGTCGAAGAAATCTAGACCCCAGTTCATGCCTCACAACCGTTTGTCTCCAATGCAATGAGCCTATAGCTCCACCATGGTTCATCGTTTCCTTGTCTCCACTGTGGTCTGTCATCCCTCTGGCACAACCTTGGACCTCACTCCCACCAGCTCCGAGCCTCCGCCTTAGTATTTTGAGCCCCCAGCTCCGCCTTGGTCTTTCCATCCTCTGGCTCCACATTGGTCCTCCAAGCTTTAGTCTCCAACCTTCCTGACTCTGCTTTGGTCTTCTGACCCCTGGCTTCATCTTAGTCCAAACCACTTAAGGGTCTGCCATGGATCTTCAGACCTCTGTCTCTGTAATACACCCTAATTGGCCTGTTCAGATGTGGCCTCCTCTGCCGGCTCCCAGATGAACTCTCCCTATTGGAGGACTGGACCCTCCTTCCACTATGGACATCAACACCCCTTCCCCACCATCATCACCATCTGTTTCAGTTGTGATAAATCACTTCTTTTTGCATTATTGTGTATCTTATTGCATTATTTCCACTCTTTTCTGTGGTTTCCATTTACTTATAAAATCTTTGTTTAATCAATTATAACATATCACATCACACGACTCTAAACTGAACATGCTTGAAATTTCATATCAAATTCTCCAAATACTAATTGCACATATATCCGGACATCAAATGAGACATGATTCCAAGACCAAACTCATAATATGATGATGAGGCTGTACAACCTGTACAGCAATCAACACACACAATCAATATCTTCAATTAGACTATAGCCTATATCATTTAATCTACAGTATATCTATTATTTGTGAACAATACTTAAAAACAATCAACAGTTGCAATTTTGTGGCTCTCTAAAGTTTTTTTGAATAAAATCATGACAGTGCACGACTTGGAAACAACCAATCAAAACCTAGAACTAGCGTGAAAAGGATTAACTAAGTTAGCCTACTTAGGATACAATAACGGAATTTATAGGTTGTTGCATATCGGCTATTAAAAAAAACAGGTCAAGATGGGCAAAATTTTAGGAGTTATAACAGCTCGCTGAACTGATTATGTACGTTATTAGAGCACTATTCAATTCTCTTAAGTTATCTTGTTTTACAGCAGTACCAGAGAATTCAAAATGCGATAAACCACCGAAGATGACATGACGTTTGTGACGCACTAAAAAAGTTCGCATAACATTATTCACTGGACTATCGGAAAGTGATGGAGAAGTTTGCTTCCCAAACTTCCCAAACAACCGCTGTGTCGAGTGTATAACTTAGCGAGCTCAAAACCGTCAGAAAGCCTCAATAAAAACGAATGGACGTATTATTGCTTTAACACAGACATGTACTTACGAGGCGTACTTACAACGTCGCCCTCTGTCGTGGAAAGCAACAAGCTGTTGCAATACGTGTTTGCACTGCAGTGCTCTACTTCCAGGAGCCAACGAAGAAAATGACGTGTGGGTTTAGAAAGTGATGTGATAAACTATAAACACACGAGTTAAGTAAATACATTACTTTTATTTCAAAAGATACTATCATGCAGGAAATTGATAGTTCCCAAACTCTTTAAAGCTAGGCTGCCTATCAGCATTTATTCCAAAACAGTAGGTTTAATATTAAAAATGAGGACTTGTCATCTTGAGTTGTGCTCTTTTCAGAAATGTAACGTTTTACGGGTTCATAACTGCATTCTTTAGTAACCCTTGCTTTTGAACCACTTGGCTCGGGCCACAACATCATTGGCGTAATCATCTCCTTTGGTGCCCACATCCATGCGCTCGTATGAATGGACGTTCTTCGCATCTGCGTTGTAGGCTGATATTCCCCCTGGAACAGACATTATACTTCAACTGAGACATGAAAGTTAAGCGATAAACTCCCTGGTAGCACAAAACAGGTACATCATGGAGACGTCTATTTGATGTCTGAATTGCATTTACTTCTGCAAGATGTAAAATAATGTAAGATGTAAAAAGTATTGCTCATCTGCAATGTATCTCGTAGACATCTCCAATCCGATATTAAGTAAACATTCAGAAAATTACTTTAAGATGTTTATGATTTAGAGTGTGAAACGTTCTCTTTTTTTCTAAGACGTTTATCAGATGTTTTCCAAATTAAGTGCTCCATCACATACATCTTAGAGATGTAGGCTACCTGTGCTACCTGCATTTCTTAATCTTTTTACAATTCTATTTATATTTATTTATGTCTTGAGTAAATATTTTCCTACCTTTAAAGCATTGCTCTGGGGTCCACTGGGGAAACTTTACTTTAATTGCTTTAATCTGGCCAATGAGAATCTCAGTTCCTTGCGTGACATTTTCCTCACTGTCCCATAAACCTACAGATTGGTGGCATTTGTCAACCTGGAAGAAACACCATCATTGAAGAGAACTATTAGAAATGTTGAGAAATGGTTTAACATTCTCTGCTTATTATTTGCAAAATTTCCTTGCTGATGTCAAAATATTTTGCATGGGATGTCAGCTTTAGTTAATGTTTAGTAGGCTACCGTATGTTAAATGTTATCTTATGACTTTGAAATAGACCAGATCTATTCCTCTAACCAACCTGCATGAGACCAAAGCCCCTGCCATGGTCGCCCCACCCATTCTTCAGAGCGGCCCCGGCTCTGGACTCTCTGGATATGATCCCCGCAATTACAGCCGGGTCCATTTTCTTTGCTTTGCCAACTTTAGTGATTATACTCTTGTATTTCTCCATCCGGGTCAGATCAGCCTCAGCCAGTTTTTTAGAGGCGTCAACCCCTATAACAAGTTTAAATCAATGTTAATATAAGCTGTAGTGCTGTAATGGCAGTCATACAAAAGTCAGATGTGAGTTAGTTCACTTTTAAAAAAAACTTTTGCTTATTTTTTACTCACCCCCATGTCATCTTCAGTTGAAAAGAAATTAAAGTTTTTGATGAAAACATTCCAGGATTTTTCTCCATATAATGAACTTAAATGGGAACCAAACGGTTCAAGGTCAAAGACAGTTTCAGTGCAAACTGCAAACTGTTCAAGGGGCTTTAAACGATTCCAGATGACGAATAAGGGTCTTATCAAGCGAAACGATTTAAAAAAAAAAAGTTTACGTTTTATAAGCTCAAATAATCGCATTGCTCTGTTCTGTGATGCGCATTCATGACTCTCCTGTTCGAACTCGTTTATTAAAATGAACAAATCTTTTTCCGTGTCATTTGGTTCATTTGGGACAGATATCCATACATCCATCCCTCATCCAATAATCCTTCTATTATGGATCAATATCATGGATAGAGACATAGAAAAGGGCTGCATAGTTTTGCAATAAATAATAATAAATACAATTATAAATATTGTAATTGCAATTAAATTAGATTTGTGTGTGGCAGCTGCATGTACAATTATTATTATTAATAATAATAACAGTAATAATAATACAAATGAGCTTAAAATAAAAATTTATAAGGTTTATTGCATTAATAACAGGCCATATTTTTATGGTTAACAAGTTATCATTCATAGTACTCTAAATTTTAAACATTTTAAATTCCAACATTGTTTGTGAAAGTCTAACAAAGTTAAATGTATACTCAAACCTGAAAAGTTGCGTGGCTCCGTTTTCATTTGATTATCATTGTACACTTGGAGGCTTAGTTGTAACACTCTGCTGTGTATTACATATTTTCAGCCTATGCAGTCGCTAGGAATTGTTGACATGTTTCAAAACGGTGCTATGTTTGAGCCAACAAGACAGTGATTAAGGCAATATAAAGTTAGCTTTGGAAACCCAACTCAGAAACTGAAAAAAAAAAAAACCTATGATGAAAAAATTTACTTTTATGGTGTCAAAACACTCTTTGTCCAGTATCTTCACGAAATATAATCAAAAATTTCAGCAAATTCGCGGGAGACTGTCTTCTGGCAGCAAGAGAAAAAGAGCGGAAAGACAACCTGCTTGATCCTGACGAACTATGTAAACGGTCCGTGTTACATTTAACCCCGCGCTAGGTTGTGCCCCGCGCTCCCCTTGACTGATAAACAACAACGGTTTGACCGAAAAATATCGAAATTGAAAATACTGTGGAAACAAAGACGCATAAATCTTGGATGCCCTTGAGGTAAGCTAAAACATATGAAAAATTAATTTCAAAGTGAACTATCCCTTTAAACTTTGTTTTTTTTTTAGACCCTTATTCATCGTCTGAAATCGTTTAAAGACCTTTGAACAGTTTGCAGTTTGCACTGAAACTGTCTTTTTGACCTTGAACCATTTGGTTCCCATTGAAGCCCATTATATGGAGAAAAATCCTGGAATGTTTTCATCAAAAATCATAATCATAATCATTTCTTTTCGACTGAAGAAAGAATGACATGGATATAATCTTGGATGACATGGGGGTGAGTAAATTATCAGCAAACGTTTTTTTTACTACTCATCATGCATTCTTCTCACCCTTTACAGTTAATTTATCCTGTTTTGCTGTCTGCTCTGATGCACCGGTGGTGTCTATCTTCATGACGTCTCCATAAATGCATGCTAGAAACAACATGGAAAATATATCCTGAAGATTGTTCAATCAATAAGTAATATTACTGTATGCACATTTATGCAATGCTATAAAAAGTTCCTCGTAATTCAAACAATATCAGATAAAAACATGCAACTTACCCATGACTTAGAACTGCTGTGCGAGATCAAATCACTGAGTTTGATGAGTCCTGTCAGTAAATCAGACCGCTGCAGGACGTGATTATATATGATCACAGAGGGAGTGGTCTCTCTTCTTTTCCTCAGATTTTTTTTACTGAGGTGTGGAGAAATGTAAGGTTACAAAAATGTGCAACTGTGAATGTTGCGAAATTTAGAATCCTATTTTTAATTTTTTTTAATTATTCTAAGCACACCCAAGCACAGTGAATCATACTGCAAGTTGAAAGACTTATCATGTGGAGGCTTCACACACCTCGAAAAGGTTTAGCTGATGAACCAACTTGATGACAAGGGAATAACTAACTTTGCTAGTACAGGCAGGAAACGAAAGTGAAGAGAAACAAAAGGTTGTGGGAAAAAGTACTTTTTTCTGGAAATGTTGACACTCGTGCAGTGTAGAAGCATGCCAAAGTTCACTGGCTCTTTCTCTGCCTCCCCTGGCTCCCTTGATCAAATGCTTGTACGATTTGTTTAGTTATGGGTCCCAATAAAAATGTGTCAAGTTTGGCTGCCGCTTTCTAGCACTTTCCAGGAATACAAAGCCAGATTCAGTCATTTTATAGATTTTTTGGATAACTTTGGGAAATTTATTCTTGATTTTTCTCCAATGCTTGATTGTATGTAGAAGAAAAGCTACAAGCTTCTATCCGAACAAGGAAACAATTTCACAGGGAGGAGTTGTTGTTGGTAGAAGCTTAGTCAGATGCAAACCCACCCTTAGAGATGAGCTTGCCAAAGGACAAATCAGGTTCCATTTTAATCCTCACAGCACACCTCATTTTGGTGAGTAGGAAAGAGAAGTGAGAGGTGAATGATATCAGCCCTGGATGACGCTGGGATCTCAGATTGTCGAATAGGTATGAGAAACATCTTAGTGGAGGTTGATGGTATCTTAAATTCAAAAACCTTGGGGTTGTGTCTCTAGTGATGTGGCAGATCCAGATCCAGATCCCATGATTCGGAATTCCTTGCTTATTGGGCGGAGTCTGATCTACTCAGTTAGAAGAGGTTGAGACATGGACCGATTCTCAGTGATTACTCATGGAAGTATTTTATGCAGAGGACTTCCTACCGACCTTACAGACATGACAGTTCTCATCACTGATGAACAATTGCAGAGAGTGCTCTGAGGACCCAAAGCCCTAAAAAATGAGGGTTTTGTTTACGTTTTTTTTAGTAAATGGATTACTGCGACTATATTCTCTCTTCACCTCCTTGCTTTACCATGCTACTGTGACAGTTTTGTCAGCCCATTTTCACTCCCAAGGCGTCACCTAACTGACGCCTTGGGAAGCATTTGACCATGCTTCAATATCTGACGCTTTAGGCGCCCTTTAGCGTCAGTTAGATGACGCCCTAGGATCGCGTGTAACCCTACCCCCACCCCACTAAACCTAACCGCGTCCTCTAACTGACGCTTTCCTTTAGCGTCAGTTAGATGACGCCGTAGGATCGCGTCATGTAAGCAGTGGCGGAGCCAGAGGGGGGTCCGGGGTGGCACTGGACACCCCTGACATGCGATTGGCCACCCCGGGTGCCACCCCAAAATTGTATTGGCAGTGTAATGGCAAGTTTTAGAGGTTAATGAAAACAGCATCAAAGGTATAAGAAACTTTCCGAACAGGCAAACTGTAATAAAGAGAAAAGGTTTATTCTTGTGAGGAGGCCTCTTTTCAGAGCCGCAGCTACCCAGCTCGGAAAACCAGAAGACCTGTTTGATTTACCACAAACATGACATTTTATACAGTAAAACTCCTCCTTCCTAGTTTCTGTAACTTTCCACATCTGTTGTCTCAAAAAGTGACCATGCCCCTCCTTGCCACCCCAGGGCTGTATAATTAACATAAGAAACAGGGCCATTTGTTCTACCACTCTCTGTGTGTGTGTGTGTGTGTGTGTGTGTGCGTGTGTGTGTGTGTGTGTGTGTGAGAGAGAGAGAGAAAAACATATGATGGCTATTATTCATATTAGTTAATATTAAATTTTTCCACAACAACTTCCCCCTTTTTATCATTCAGATTACCCATAATCATAATAATAAAAATCAATAGAAAAATTTCAGTCGTATCATCACAGTTATACTCTTCATATCCGATTTTTGTATATCTGAAAATAAAATCCATCATCCCTTGGCACCGTTGGCCACCCACATGAAGTTCAAGTCCATAAAGATATGTTTTCTGTTGTGTAGTTTCATCTCCAGACTTTCCGTCCAGGCTTGTTGCAATATCCGCTGGTCATGTCTAAGTCTTTGTTCTCCCTTCAGCCCTGCATGAGGAGGTTCTATCACATAGTGTTGCACTGTTCCATCAAAAAAACTTCACACCTCCACAAGAAAAGGCACTGAATCTGGGAGCAAACGCTGGTTCCTTTTTCTGAGGCAGGAGACAGTTGTGAACTATAGGTAGCAGGAATTCTGTGATTCAAAAGAACATACGGTACAACAAACAACAAAAGCGTACGGCATTCTTGATGGTCAGAGATTTGAAATGGTCAGATTCAAATTTATCTTAAATTTATGTACTTCCAAAATATGGTCAAGGAAGAATAAAAGAAGATCTTACTAGCCCTTACACTGTTTCTGGCATTACAACAAAAACAACAAATACTGGTTTAAACCCCACTTCATGAAGAGTATCAGCAAAATAGTGTAACCAAATACAGAGATTAAATTGAATTAATGTCCAAAAACATTGTTGAAAATAAAATGGACAAAATACAAACGTGCAGAAACAAAACAAATAATAAAGTAAACTCAAAGTAAAACAAAACAAAATCAGTTATCAAATGGTGTTATCTATGTGTCTGCATTTAGCTGTGTCTATGTGTAAATTCATCATGCCTCAAAACAAAGATTAGGGAGTTTTACAATTGTGATGCAAATTTGGCCCTGTTGTAACAGGGAGCCAGGATGAGAATGTGAGTATGAGATGTGATCTGGCTCAAAATCTTCCCACACCAATGTTTTGTTAAGAAGCATGATAAAAGTGCAAAGTTCCTGTTGTGAGCAAAGCATTCTCATGGTCAATGCAGTTGTGAAGCACATTGTAATCACATGGTAATTCTACCTCCTTTACGTGGTTTTACTACAGCTATATGGAGAATAGCAGAGTTATCCACTAAGGGGACACATTCAACAGTCATTATTCAATTGGGCACATTCCTGTATCAAAATCTGCTCTGCTCTGTAGAGAAAAACAAATTTTGAGTTTAAGTATACAGTTTCTTTTCGCCCTGGCGCTTCCCGTCGAATCAGTCCTGCAATTTGTTATACAACAATTTTTTTTAGGACATTTTTGTCCCCTAAACCATATTATATTTGGCCATTGTTACCATTACATCCCCCTTTTTGATGCATGAATTCATCCTTGCATCAAATTAACACAATGGTGTCCTCATCATTTGAAGGCTAATAGCCCTCAGTCTTACCTTCTATTTTCTGTCAAGTCAGGTCATGCTGTACAGACTTGTCAATGTCAGTCATAATTTTTCCTTTGTTTACGTTAATCATAAACGTTAAGGGCTCTCTTGATAATTCGATATCTTAGCCAATATGTCACTTTGTTCTTGCCATAAAAATGATCAACCTCTCTTGAATTTGTTATTCGCCTTAATTCTTTCCAGAGGTTAATGATACACATTATTCTGATAGAGCAACTCCTCTAAACTCACTCTCATCAAGACATAAAGTGCAATCACCATAAAATACATCTAAATATGAACCGTTCATATTTCTTATTTTTTATTTAAAAAGATTTACAGTTTAAATGATATTTTGGACCCTGCGTATTTCTATATCTTTTATCTAATTATTTTATATGGCCTCTTAACTATAGTTTAAAACATGTTTGTTCATTATTCATTTGATTCTAGAAAAAGTCAGCTGTGTTGGTTTTGGTTCATTATCATTAAATTGCTTCAGCTTCTTTGTCTGAAAGAAAAACAGAAAGATAGAGTACACAGACCTTTCTTCTTCAAGCAGTCTCTCTCTCTCGAACAAACGAATAATCTTTTCAACAGCCTCCTAAGACTGTAATTTAGACAGGGTAAATTCCTTACACTAAACTTTTGACCTTTGTTATTCAGACTTTTAGTTGTCCTAATCTTTAGCCACCACCATGTCTCTACCCTGATATGCTGGATTTTGCCACACACTCCTTGCCCTTAAGGCAATTAACATCATAAAAATGTTTGTCAATGTCTCCACATCAGATGCATCCAACTGTGGTCTATGTTAATGATGTTTGAGACACCCCATTGTCTGATAAGATTCCCTGTGTCTCACACCGGCCCCATTTCTACAAGCAACTACCATTTGTTTAGAATGTGTTGAATTACAATGGTGAAGAAACAAACTAACTTTATCTAACTAATCTTTTATCTCTATGATAATTAAGCCATTTTGGAGGATGAGTTCATTCTAAAGTATATTTGGGAGTGGACTCTTGGTTGAAGCAGACTAACTGTATCACAGTCCTCTGAGTCCCCTCTCTGATGCCCTTTGCCCAAAGTGGCATCACATTCCACTCCCTTCGCACAGATTACACCTCCCTTTCCTGGTGGGCAGGTGCCCAGTAGCGGTGAAACCCTGCCTTAGGTTGTCTTTTAGGGCTATCGAAGATCGTACCCGTCGTTGGGATGACACCTCATGCATACTGGTTACAGCTCCATCCAATTGGGCAGAATTATCAAAGAGACTTTTCTAAAAATTGACAGTTATGACTTTTCTTGTGGGTGTTGGTGAGAAGACATTCAAGAATCATCACAGTCCAGTAGGACAGTATTTAATTAAATTAACCTTTTAAACATCCTCAGCAAAATCACAATGCTTGGAAATTTAGATCACGACCGTACATTCAGTGTACATCTATATCTGTAGCCTAGAGCCATCGATTCTGAATGGTGGAGGCTAAAGAAAATGAGACAAAGAAGTTACTGGTCCTAAAATAAACTAATCAAAAAAATGTCTCTTCTATCGTATAAGGTCTGCATTATTTTAAAGACGTCTTTAAAGTCATTCAGGTTTGCTCCTAAAGTATTTACAAATTGTCCTCTGCTTCTTATTATCACTTATAATCAGATAACAGCTTTTAGCTGTCATTGAAAGAGAGAGAGAGAGAGAGAGAGAGAGAGAGAGAGAGAGAGAGAGAGAGACACTCTTGAGTTATTCAGGACTGGTACTTCCTGCTTCCTTCAAAACGTGTAACTTCAGACTTTAACTCTAGCCCAGCTTAAGGCATCTTTTCCATAAATTACTTGTATTTTTAATACAAGCCCAATTTTATAAGAGAATTTAGACATTACAAATTTCTACTCGGATTGAGTCTCTGTCATGCTGGCAGCTTCCGTCCCAACACACAAGATTAAGATATGCAAATTGTTTCAGCCAAACCACAGCTTATTTTCTAAAATCAACATCAGCTTCTAAAATCCTTTCTTGGTCAATTTTTCAAGTTTTGGTCAAGTTTTTTTTTCACATTTTACATTTATCAACTGTTAAACCTGTAACACTGCTTGCTTAGCCTATTTTATCTTTTATAAAAATAGTAATGCTTCAAATTTCATCTAAACTTTATTTGCCAGGTTCCTAATGGCCATAGTTTAATATCTGACTTAGTTTTTTTTATTTTCTAGGAGTTTACCAATTCTGCAATTAGCAATACTTTTTAAAAGTATTTGCAACTCATTTCTTATCTGTCTCTTTCTCAACCCAATTGAAACCCGATCTAACAGGTTAGAAATACAATTTAACAGTGGGACGCTCAACCCCCCTTCTTGGGTGTTTTACTGTTCTCACCCCTGTGAACTTAAAACAATACATAATACGATGGTCCTTCTAACCCCCCTCCTGTTCTTTCTCAGACGAAAATGTTAATATCATCACTTAAACACTGATCTATATTCAAATGCACACAAAACTTATTCTTATACATTTAAAAGAGGGCAGGATTACATGAAAGGTGGATACACTGAGACAAAGCAAATGTAAATGATTCAGCAGCAGCAGACACGCTAATCTGATCAGTCTGACCAGAGTGGTCAAACCTTTACCATTACAAAAGCAAAGCTGTATCTTGAACTTATACTGGCCAGGAAGTGCATAAAGACAAAAGCTAATGTTTGACACCTGGAATGCTTGGCTTAATCTTCTTGGCCTCAAAATGGTAAATACTGTAAATACATTTTTCAGTTCAAAATCTCAGCTTTCATCCACAGCTACATGTTAAATAGCTGCTTAAGTTAAACTTTAGTCATACTTATCCAGGGAAATGATTCCCTGATCCAAAATTCCTTCATAACACAGACTGTCTTTAATTTAGCATTATCATCAATAACACTGATTGCAAAACCCATTATAGCATCCGGAAGCCGGGCTAATAAGCACGCACTATTTGCTGTATTACTTAGTCCCTTCTCAGTTATTAGGAAAAGGCATCATCTGCAAGTACCAGGATATATGCATTTGTTTATCTATTTATAATTTTTATAAAAATAAACTATAATTTCCAATTCATTTTATGATAAATGAAGGTTTGATGGCTAGTCCATCTTTTCACTATCCCCACTATAAACCCTTTGGTTCGAAAACACAATGGTTATTAAACTAAATCTGCAAGTATCTTTAAAGTTAGAGCTTCAGAGAAGAGCTGCTTACAGCATTTTGCTCTCTTTTGTCTTCCCATCATGACTGTTCAGTTACGATTTACTATATCTATAATACAATAAAGCACATTCACATCATCATTTCAATCATTATTTTATCACGTTTGTACTTTACTTTTACTGGAAATACTTTTCCATATTCTGCTTGATAAACCTTTCACACCATTTCAACTTACTTGGACTTAACAAGTGTTCAAAAATGGTCATGAATTCTATTTTTTTCCCTTTTATATTCCAGTTTCTTCTTTATCTGGTGTTTTCTTCCAACACTATTGTTTTCCCTGCCTTCTTCCCCTACATGCATAAACCATCCTTCTACATTTTATTTCTACATTCTGATTCTATCCAACAACTCACTGCGTGGAAAAACTCACATTTTTCCTACCATCTATCTATCCTCAATCCAACAATTCATTGTTAAATTCTATCAGGAAAAACCCATATTTTCCTATTTTCTTCCCCTACATTCAGATCCTTTCATTTTACCTGCTTTTCCATAAAACAATTCATAGTCTGCTCGCATTCTTTATAGCCTACGTATACTATCACAACAACTGGTTTCACTTCACAAACATTTTCAACAATTCATCATTCACAACATTGCTAAAAACACACAATTATAAGCAGATTTCTTCATTACAGATAGCATAGTATAAATCAGTATAGGCCTACGTGTCATTGTGTGTGTGTGTGTGTGTGTGAAAAAAAAAATCACTTCTCTGTCTTGCGGACACGATCGCTTCCTGCTGCGAACCAGAACCTCTCCTGCTTTCCGTTCCTCCCGTATTTCAGTCCGACTTTAAATTCGGACACGCATCGCTCCAGTGCCCGTCTCTCTTGCACAGTCTGCATATGGTACAGTCCCTGAACGAATGGTTGTTTGAAGTACACACAAAGCATCGCCATTTCTTTTCTCTTTTTTGTTTAGTTTTAGGCTTGTTTGTTTTTGCTGCTTCTCCCGCTGCTCGCGCTTGTGCGTCTCGTGCTGCTTTTTGGATCGGAGAACAGTCGAGATCGTGGTTCAGCTTCAGGGTTCTCAGTACAAAGACAATTTCGGTATCAGTTTGGAAAACTGAAGTGTAAAAATTACCTAGGTTTTTGCTAGATGACCCCATTTTGGAAATCACAAACACACTGTTTATAAGTAGAATTCTGCTCCGTCAGAGACTCACACACACACACGACAAAAAAAACAAACACCGGCAGCAACCCTTTGTTGCTTTTCACGGACCCTCTTTCCTAATCGCACTTATTTTTCATTTGACCGAAAACTGGTTTGTAAAAATTACCTAGTTTACGGTTAGATGACCCCATATTGGCTGAATCTCCCCTCTTGGATTTTTTCCTCGACGCGCGTCTAATAATCTGTTGAACGTCTTCAATCAGACCCGATTCTGTCACCTCGTATCGGCAAGGTTAGCAAATTTGCTCTGTAAATACGATTTACTATTTTTCCTGTGCACCAAATCAATCAAGCGTGATTCTTCCGTTCACTTTTACAAGAATTAATTCAAGCGCGGTTCTCCGCCCGCTTTTACTAGAATGATTAGTTTACAACAGGATTTTGCCTAAACCTGTACTTCAGTTGTGAATCTCCTGTTCACTGGGTGTCTCTACCTGTACACCAAGGTGTCTCCCTGTACACCTACGAGCAATTATGGTACGTCGCATCCACTTCCGTCCATCTACATGAGCTTAGTTTTTTTTTAGAGATCGGTCTGATACTGTCAGATCAATCTCTCCCTCAAAAAACTAACTCTGCTCGTACCAAAGAACCAAACTCAGCCAATACGGTTCATGTTCACTCACAATCATCAACACTTAACATCAATAAAACAATTTGCCGTTTCTTACCCAGAGATGCTTTCTCTTTTCTGTAATTGCCACGGATTCTTTTAATCCTAGTGAGATTTCATTTCCCCTGGTCTGGATGCGGTTGTTGGCTCTCTCTCTCTTAACCTGTGTTTGAGTTCTATCTCAAACCATCGAGGTATGAGACCGGCCGCCTGTTGCTGCCGGGGTTGTGCACTTTCCGTCCAATCCGTTCCACGACCAGGAGAAAGAAGATTCTGCACAGGATCAACACTTCTGACACCAACTGTAATGGCAAGTTTTAGAGGTTAATGAAAACAGCATCAAAGGTATAAGAAACTTTCCGAACAGGCAAACTGTAATAAAGAGAAAAGGTTTATTCTTGTGAGGAGGCCTCTTTTCAGAGCCGCAGCTACCCAGCTCGGAAAACCAGAAGACCTGTTTGATTTACCACAAACATGACATTTTATACAGTAAAACTCCTCCTTCCTAGTTTCTGTAACTTTCCACATCTGTTGTCTCAAAAAGTGACCATGCCCCTCCTTGCCACCCCAGGGCTGTATAATTAACATAAGAAACAGGGCCATTTGTTCTACCACTCTCTGTGTGTGTGTGTGTGTGTGTGTGTGTGTGCGTGTGTGTGTGTGTGTGTGTGTGAGAGAGAGAGAGAAAAACATATGATGGCTATTATTCATATTAGTTAATATTAAATTTTTCCACAACAGCAGTTGCTAATGCTGATTTAAAAAAGAAGAAAAAAAAAAAAAAAGTTCGTCAGCACGCGCGCATATTTCAAACAGACGAGCAGCAGAGGACGAGAGATGGTTGCAAGTCAGGATACGTCTTCATCTTCACAGAAGAAACATATTTGAAGTAAATTTTAGCATCAGGGTTGTTTACTCCGAATACATTAATACACGCATACAGTAGGCTACCATGACATGTAGTTACTGTTTTTTGATCATCATTCTGGGTGCCCGAAAGCATCGTTGGCAATGCAATACTATGCAACTATGGTCGCAAGTCGGTCGTTATAGTTCAATGACAACGCTTTCCAAGCCATATTACATTGATTATAAATTCAGACGTTTGTGATACATAAAAACAAAAAATAAGATTAACTTATCTTTTAAAATCGGACACGGAGCCGTTTTTTTATATAAAAAAAAAATAAAACAAGATTATCTTTTATAATCGTCCGTTTTTCCTGTGCGTGAGACTGGAAAACCCGTAGTGGATGGAGGCGGAGTGATAACAGAACGCTTTAGAGTGCAGAGAGGAACGGGCTTTGGCTCCAGTCCTGGCTTTGCGTCCGCGCCGTTAGGAGCTCAACATCTGTCTCGTAGGCTATGCACGTTCTCTCTAGATTAGAGGATATTTTAACTAATTTGCGGTAAAACTAGTCGATCACGAGTGGCTCAACGGGTGGAACTATAGATAAACCAGCCCATTCTCACCCCCAAGGCGTCACCTAACTGACGCCTTGGGAAGCATTTGGACATGCTTCAATATCTGACGCTTTAGGCGCCCTTTAGCGTCAGTTAGATGACGCCCTAGGATCGCGTGTACCCTACCCCCACCCCACACCTAAACCTAACCGCGTCCTCTAACAGACGCTTTCCTTTAGCCTCAGTTAGATGACGCCGTAAGATCGCGTCATGTAAGTGACGCTAAAGGGCGCCTAAAACGTCAAATATTGAAGCATGGTCAAAGGTGACGCCTTGGGGTGAGAATGCGTTGGATAAACTCATCTTTTCAGGTATTTTAGTGACCGGCTTGACACTTTAGCATGAAATATCGGGGGTGTAGCGTGAGAATTGTCTCACACTCAATGCGTGAGAGTTGGCAGCCCTGCACACTGCCCTACAAAGGCAAAGCGCAGTAACTAAAATTACATATTATATTTGGTCAAAAATGAGTTAAGACTTTTGGGCTTTATGACATGTCTGTCTTGTGAAAAAATATCTGGGTTAAATTATGTCCTGTTTCGAAGATGCATTACCACATAATCTACCCATAACATGTTTGACTGGCTGGTATAAAAACTTTAATCCTTTTCCTCCGTTTCTTTGTTTGCGTAACGTTAGTTACTGCACTTTGCCTTTGTAGGGCAGCATAAGTTAGTTGTACGGGAAACCCACACCAGAATCGGATCTAGATGTAGTCTTTGATGAATGCAATTTTCTCAGCTTTTTGCTCATGTTGCTTTTTATGAAAGTTACCAACATTCGAGTGTTGATAAAAAAGGATGCATAAAGCTAGGCCTATAATAGAACCGTTTTTTTAAAGCACATGATCTGTTCTTTCTTTTGACATTGTTCAGATATTGTGAAAATGACCAAAAACGCTAATGGTGGCTGATTTTTATTTTTAATGTTGGTTATTTGGATGATTATTATTAGAAATGAATATGATTGGAATCATATTTTCAATTTTTCATATTTTGAACAGGGTCAATTAAACATGAAAAGAAAGGGAGAGATATCAGAGTTCTTTTTAAAGAAGCACAAACAGACAGATCAGGTGCAATTGCAAACAGACCCCAGCCCTTGCATCACTGGAACCCAGAGCAGCTCCCTACCTGTGGCTAGTCAGAGTCAGGGTGGTCAGACTTCAGGCCCAGCAACAGGTCAGAGCATCTACAGGCAGTCACATCCCGAATTCAGGAATTTCAGTTGATATGATTTTGTCAGATTAAAAGTATAGTTCACCCAAAAATGAACAAAAAAAGAGATATTTTAAAGCATGTTGGTAACCAAATAATTTTATAAATAAAATAACCTGACACATGCTACTGTATCTTATCTCCTTGGTGCTTCAGCTTTGTTTTCTGCTAATATTTTGGATGTTCAACACTTATTACAAACAGAGTGACCCAATTACTTCCACTGTGTGTGTGTGTGTGTGTGTGCCCCCCAAAATAGCAGTGGCCACCCCCTGGCCACCCCATGTATAAAACTCTAGTTCCGCCACTGCATGTAAGTGACGTTAAAGGGCGCCTAAAACGTCAAATATGGGCTCTATGCACGGCGTTATTTCCGGTGAAGGATTAAGGATGCTCGATAACTTCCGCCGATCATAGAGTCCAATGCAATACCGAGAATTTATATTGAATTTTATACTCCATGGTTATACTAATGAAACGTTAGTCACAAAAACAGATAAAACAGACACCCCTCGTTGTGTTTATGCTTCTTTTTAAAATTATATTAAATAAACATAACTATATATAAAATTACATCTAAACGTATGTACGTTTCGTTTCAAAGACGGGAGGACAGTAAATATTGAAGACTCTGCCATAATCCCGTTTTCTCCGGTTTTCCTCCGCTTTAATCTACACAACCGGAAATGGACGAGCATCCTTACGTCAAATGCGGAACTTATGCGTGCATATAGCCCATTGAAGCATGGTCAAAGGTGACGCCTTGGGGTGAGAATGTGTTGGTTTTGTTGATGAGAGGAAAGCTTGCAGCACTTTTACTTATTGCTGCTCTCGGCAGTGTGGGTAGCGCTGCGGTGTTTGCTAATAAAGCTGCTCAGGTTCTTCGAAATTCTTTTGGCTCCAAAAATGGAGTGAAACTGGAAGAAAACAAAACTAGAGGTATTTTGCATTTCATGGAAAGAGATGAATGCATACAGAGAGGCTTTAAAACCGCTAGGTCTGCTAATTTTCAACCCTATTGGAAGAAAATAAACAAAACCCTAGGAATTTCTGTGAAACATAGTACTGAGATGGGACAGTAGCATCATAGTACTAAGTAGATCATAGTACTGAGACAGCACACTCATTGGAGTCACCAATGTTTTGCTCTTATCATCCGATCGTGGTTGTATCTCTCTATATCTCTCTCTTGATCTTAGTGGTGCATTTGACACAATCGACCAAAACATTCTTTGGTCCCACTTTATATTAAGTGGCTTTAAGTACTATGTACTTACATTGAAAAATAAGAACAATGTACTTATTGTGCTCATGTTGTATTGTAAAACACTTTTGCTGCTATTGAGGTGTGATATGGGTAAGGTTAGGGACAGGTGTGGTGGTATGGGCAGGTTTAAGGGTAGGTCTAAGTATAAGGGATGGGTCAGCTGTGTAATTACAGATGTAATTACATAAATTAGTTACAGCTGTAATTACATCCTGGAATTTTTTTAATATAAGTACAATGTAAAAACATGTATGTACACAATAAGTTCATTGTATCAAATTATTTGTTTCAATGTAAGTACATAGTACTTAAAGCCACTTAATATATAGTGGGACCCATTCGGTCACTGTAAATACAGTAGACTCTTAAATTTTGTAGGCATTAGTGGAATTGCATTAGCATGGTTTAAATCATACTTATCTGACCTTTATCAGTTTGTAGCAGTAAATGAAGAGATGTCTTACCTTATCTTATGTAAATAAAAAGATGTCTTTTCTTAACTTCAGATTGAATTATGTAGGTAGGCACTTACAAAGTTTCGTGCCTCTGAAAAGTGTGTTCCATCTTTTTGATCTGAATGGTGTGTGGAAAACACTTGAGTTTTGCCACCGACTTGTCCCACCGACTAGAACACAACTGACTGCTTTTTCAAGTGCCTCCATACTTGAAAAACCACGGAAAACTACTTTTAAACAAATGACGGAATATTTACGTACATATTTACAGCAGGTCTATTCGCGCGGGATTAGTATTACCCGAGGGCCGAGGTAATTTTGCGGACCTTTTACAGAAGGTAAAACTCGCCCTAATCTTTCCTGATATTGTCCGGAATGATTACTGAGATGCACATCTATAATCCCTCAGATGATCTGGTGACAATTAGCAAAGCTTCAGTCAATGACTCTATAGTCTTTCCTCTGCATCCTTTGAAAGCTGCATTTGAAGGCTGATTTTGTAACCGCGGTGCGATGAAGGCTGTCCCAATTCGAAGTCTCTTTCAAACGTGGCTTCTAAAATGCATCCTTCGTTTCCCATGAAATGAAGGATACAACAGATGGTTCCTTCATTGTCTTGCCTACCCCAAAATGTATTGTGCCACTGACAACAGGATTTATTTGGGAGAAATAGCCAAATATAAATTTTAAACATAAGTATTGGGTTTCAACTTACTCAAATATCTAATGATACAAACGTAAAAAAAAAAAGGACTCTTTAAAGCAAATGTTGACTTATATCTTCATAAGATGCGATTATATATAGTTCATACTCTTTATCATAAAAGAAATGGCCCATGGTGAACATACAGTATTTTTCAGTTCGTGAACCCTGTTTTTTTTATATATACAGGGTTCACAAAGTATAGTACAAACTTTTGACAAAGTTTCAAATAACTTTCAAAAAAGTCAAGTACAAACATTACTGTCACTCATCAACGGCAGCTGTCACAGTTGGAGGCAAGTACGATCCTCTGTATGCTAGTCCGTCACAGTCCGACCTTCGCAGGCTTCAAAGGCGTGGCCTTTGCATTGGAACACAGCCTCCTTTTCCATTCATCTGGTAACACATTACAATGTGATTGGCTTCCCAAGTCGTCACTCCAGATGGATGCCACAAAAGGGTATTCCCATCAAAGACACAAACAACAAAAGCAAGTAACGTCTCCAAACTCGTGCATTGATATAAAATTGAATAAAGCCACCTAAGAAAAAATATTTTATGGTTCATTCAGGTATTACAAATTGAATTGCTAAAATCTATCACTTTCTTCAAGAAATGTTCATCATTTCCCTCTCTTACTCTTTCCTCACATTCTTCCTTTTTGCAACTCGTTTGAATGTGTATGTGCAAGTGTTTATATGTTAGATATTAGTTTGTGTTAGTATAGTCAAAGTCTTGTTTGTATTTAAAAAGAAGTGTCTTAGTGTTATGTGCTTACAAATGTAATGTTTTAAACTGCTGATCTTGTTAGTTTTACCATACTAATAAATAGTGTTTTCACTATAATTTGGATATTAAAATCTGCTGCTGAGTTGAGTTACAGCCTGTTCAATGGATTCATTTTTTCACTGGTAAAACAAGTGCTTCTTTCAAAATTCTATGAGCTAAATTGTCATGTTTCCCGGTTCCCTGAGATAAGGAGAATGAGACATTGCATAAGAAGCTGCATCTAAAAAGTTTCACCATTGACACTGTATCTGTACTTTGGACATTTGGAAACGACGCTTGCATATATTCCATTGTAATCATGTTGTAATCAGCACTGCTGAAATCAAGTGGTGCTCACAGCAGTGCCAAATGTGTGGACCTTGACCCAATTAGGTAGAGTTAAGTTCTGGCTAAACCTTCAAACTCTCCACCCATTAGTTCCAAATAGGGGAAACTAGATAACAAAATCCCCTGTTGGAATTCCCAGTGTAAAGATAGTTGTCCATTTAATGCAATCAGTCTAGTCACAATGAAATCAAACTGCATTTGAAATCTGTTTGAAGTGGAGGCAGGGGAGCTTTTAACCAAGCAATCACCTGTGTCCTGAACCTGCTGGTCTGTCTCTGCTGGTCAGAAACTAGCATGTAGTTTATAGAAAGAATCTAGAAACAGAATGTAGTTTATAGATACTATCAGTGTTGTGCAAGTTACTTCCAAACTGTAATACATTAGGTATTACTTGTTACTGTTATTTAAAAGTAATTCATTACCTTACAATATTACTGTCTCAGAATTGTAATGCGTTACATTACTCATGTATTACTTTTGAGTTACTTTCACCAAAATAACTAAGTAGAACTTAACTTTTGGGCTGTAACGATATGCAATATGAAACCGAAATCGCCATTCGCCACACGACTCAGTTCCACGAACCTACAGAATCGCGACACACCTCTTCCAACTCCCAGCGTTATTCTCCTTACCGTCCATATCCAATACTGCCTTATCTTTAAATTAGGCTATTAGTATTATTTGAAG